AATTGAACTAATCAATAGCTTCCTAACAAGCAATAACATAAGATTGTAGAGTACAAGACTCCTATAGTTTTTCGTTTTAGCACCAATCCACCTGTTCTCCCTGTAAATGTGTGAAAATGACTGATGTGTCCTATATGTGTGTAGCTGTGTTGTTCATCCTGGGCCAGATATAACACCCATAGCAAGCAAAAAGAAACAAGAAGACTGAAAAGATACACCAAGCAAACATAAACTAAAAAAAAAAAGAAAAAGAAAAAAAAAAAACACTATAARATTACTGTTAGTGAGTAAGACTTTAGAGGATCAGGGGCACAAGCCCGCTTACTGGACCTCTTACGTGACGAGCTGGCAAAATACCCCTAGTTGGTTGTGCCAAAAAAAAACCCCAAAGAAGAAGAAGTTTAAACTGTCTATCTATTGCTATTTTGTTAAATATTTAATAAACAAATTCAGCTAAAATTCAAATCATTCATGAATCTCGAAAACGTAATTCTATTGGTTGTGACGCCTCTGGTCATATAAATGGCGGATTGTTTACGTTCGGTAAATAGTGTTTAGTTGTGTGGTTGTGTTTCATTAATTATTTTGTGGATTTAAATAATTTATAGTTTGTGTTAAGCTAAAAAATGGCTTCAGAAGGATTCCTTCAAGCGTCAACAAATAATTTACCATGTGTACATATTTTTATGGTTACCGCATTTTTAAAAAACGACGAACGCTGTAATTCAGCCGAATTTAAGGGTGTCAAAGCAGCAGCGTAAGTAAAAATCCGTAAATTCATTATTGGTTACTCTCTCCTTAATATACTAATCTGTCTGTATTGGTTTAAATTAGGTAAATAATATATAGAATTTCACTTATTCAACTTAATCTAACCTATACACATGGCTGCTTTAAAAGTAAAATGAACTCTTAAATTTGCATTTTGGGCATCACGGAACAATATGGGGATATGTGGAATTGAAACGCGAGGGTTCTTTGTGCGCTGTACAAGGTAAAATTTGAGTACGATTTAAGGCATATTCTGTCTGCCTCATCATTAGCTTTTTGTTCGTACTTTCATTAAAATGATCCTCGCAACAAAAAAACCTTGATTTTGATTTAGGAACATCATGTTTAGCTGCTTTGAACCATAAAACTTTACGTGCATAATCATAGGGAACGGTTAGAAAGAGTTTGTTTGGATCACTTACTGAGGTATTCTTGCATCCTGGCACAAAACAACACTTATTTTGTGATCCATACATGTCACTATTTTCCATTATGCAAGATAATAATAATAATTAATAAAATAATGATAATCGCAATAACTTAAATAATAAAGCAAAGTTGCGAAAACAACAAAAAAAACACGAGACACTTTGTTGATATGACCTGCTACGTCATAATCGGGATAGGCAACCGACGATACGGATTCGGCGTTTTTGGCGGAAAATATTTGATTTGAATTTAAATTCGCATTAAAATTATTATGGAGACTTTTTTTGCAAGAAAAATTATATCAGTGTAATGTTTGCCATAACTACTTTTTATATTTTATATATCAACATTTAAAAAAATTGAAAACACCCTATTGTTACTCCACCCAGAATCGAGCCTTTTAACCGACCTTTCGTTATGGGACACTTACTTAAAAAAAAGTGGTTGTCCCTGCACAGGGACAAAAAGCCATCAGTACAATTTGAGCCGTTACGGAAAGGGTAAAAAATAATTTGAAAAGATACGGTGTAGAAATTCCCAATTTCCATAATGGCAAGAGCAGACTGCCGGGAAAAATAGGAAAAAACGAATCGCATAGTCGATCCCTAGAAACCGGGACTTGTGGAGTCGTGGGAATTAAAACTCCACCTCTAGAATGGAGACATAACTCGGTTGGCATTTGGGAAATGCGTTATTTTAGCTGCGTTTTTCTCGCTTAAATTCCTGCATAAAATTGTCTATTCAGAAAAGTTAACTATCTGGAGACTTACAATAAACAATGAAGGATTACCCGTAAAATTGGTTAGGAATAACATTTCCTACAACAGTTTGCATATCTAAAACCATTACCATAACAACATTAAAAAACGAACTTTTTCCATTAAAAATCAACTGGAAATAGGACACTTTATTGGAAAGGTAATAATCGAGTTTTCAAAATTAGGAATGTTTTTATTATAGGAATGATTCAACATTTTATAGCAGTTCAAAAAGTAAAGCGAATACAGAATAAATCAAAAGTTATAAAAGCAACAATAAACTTTGAAACTTAATAGGTACTTTCCTCAGAAAGTATATAATTTCCGGCTCATGGGTTAATCCTGGAAAGATAAGCATCCCACAGCAAAGTTTGGTATCGCTTTGCTGCAGCAACGGGATCAGTGGCCTCAGTAATGCCCCGTCCAACAACAGCGATATCAGCGCCTTTCTCAGTAACAACTGATTCGGGCGAATTGTATTGCTGCCCCAAATGATCTGATGTTTGCGCGATTTTAACACCTGGAGTCAACTGAATCAATGCGGGATTGTCTAAAAATAGGGGGTTTTGGCAGACAACACCAGCAATTAGCTTTGGATATTCCGCAGTCAGTTTAAGGGTGGATTTCGTGTAGGCATCCGTGATTAGACTGCCTGTAGCACTTGCTTCCGCCAGAAGGAAAACTCCTTTTTCCTCGCTTCCTGGAGCACCTGCAAGAATTATTATTTTTGTGGCTATTAGATGAGATTCGTTTGGATATATATATATAAATATTTTGGACCGAAATCTCCATTTGCGCTTGTTTGGCGGTGGTTGATTATCGTTATTTACCTTGGATAGCATCCAAAACACCTTTCCCAAAAACGGAATGGGCAGTTACCAGACTGGCCCATGAAGATATCTTGTACAATCCTTTGCTATATTGCAACTGAACCGTATTGCCAATATCGGCAAATTTTCTGTCCTCGAACAAAATAAAGTTGTGCCTATTTGCAATTTCCTTCAAAGGGTCAATCAAATTGATACTGAAGTCGTCCACAATATCGATATGTGTTTTCAATGCGCAAATATACGGCCCCACTTTTTCTGCCAAGTTGAGAATTTCTGTGGCATCTGTTAGGTCAGCTGCTAAGCACAGTGTTGTCTGCTTAGATGCCATTATCTCAAATAGTCTCTTAGCCACGGGATTTTGGGCTAATTGAGCACGGTCGAGGAAAGACAGTTTACGCCTATCTGAATGGAGAACTCGTATGAAAACTCGTGAAAATTCATATATCCTTCAATAACCAGCGTTTACCACTTACCAACTGTGGGTGTTGGAATGGAAGGGACTTGATTTTCAGCTAAATACTGCTTAACCTTTTCGACGACTTGAACGTCAATGCAGTTTGCTTTAAACAAGTAATCCATTAGCTGAGACAGCGTTAATAATGCGTGCATCTTTATTCCGTTTTTCTGCAGAATACCAGCGCCTCCTTGCTCTCGGTTGAGCAAAACGATAGCATCACTACATTTCAAACCTGAAGAATTATATAAAGTTCCAAATGCCTACATGTGTTTCGGGATTCGACGTCAATGCTTAAAACAAAAAAGCTCTTCAAGACTCATGCATAACGTGATCAATCAAAATCAAATGAAAACTGCGTAGCGCGAAATAATACACATTTACTCAAAAATTTGATTTTTGGCCGAAATTTTTCCAAGGGTGAGGGTCGATTTTTCCAAAAAAAATTATATTTTCTCAAATTGCCTCAAATTTTACATCATTTTCAGCTCACGGACGCGAGGAATGCATCGAACTCCTTAAAAAACAAGGTCGAAGTTTCAGATCCGAAATAATAGACATTTTCGGCATATTTTAAGCCATTTTGAGAGTTCATGATCTTTACCCGACGATTTCTTCTTTATTATTGACACAAACACTTTATAAATGCATATTTGTGACCTTCTTACGTCGAAAGGAATCGATTGAGCTCAAAAAACACGCATGTGAAATTTTGATTTTTGGCCGAGATTTTTCCACCCTCGATTTTTGAAAAAATTTTAATTTTTTCAAAATGTCAAATTTTACATCATTTTCAGCTGACGGAGTAAATATACGATTTATACTACCTATTAGAGCCCACATGTTAAAACCAGGAAATAAATTAGCTCAACAGTTCAAGACTAAAGAACATCTCCCGAAATAGTGACACGATTTGCCAGCAGAAATACCTTCATTTTGCAGATCTTTCACAGTCTCTAAAATGCTACTTCCCGATGTTACAACATCTTCAATAATGAGACATTGATCTCCAGCATTGAAAACACCTTCAATCAATTTTTTCGTGCCATAATCTTTCGCTTCCTTCCGTCTCATCACCATAGGAAGCCCTGTTTGTAATGACACCGCGGTAGCGATCGGAAGTGCCGTATAAGGAACCCCACATAGAATATCTACACCTTTTACACCCTTAATAGTTTCAACTAGCAAGTTGGCCAGGGTTTTCTGGAAATAATTAAGTAGGTAATATTACAGGACGAACGCCAACATAACAATTCGGGTAAACCACAACTTTTTATACCTTCTGGAATTTGTGCATCCTTCAAGTGTTGATAAGGCAGCATTAACGAGAATATTTACTTCAGATTGGATAGATAATTAGGACTTAACTTACCATAACATCAGGATAGCTGACAAGAACTCTCAAGTCACAGTAAACAGGGGTCGTAAGGCCCACTTTCGTCTTAAACTCTCCAAACTTAATTGCGTTAATTTTGTAAAGCTGCACAGCAAAACCTTGCAAACTATCTTTTTGATTGCTCATGTTAGCGAAAAGCAATTAAAACAACGCAAAATGTGAAAAGTTATTACAGCCAGCAGTTAAAGAAGATGCAAACAACAATCTGATCAATCAGACTTCGCAAAACACACTAAAACCAAAGACAATACTTGTCTCTGTTAAAACAAGAAAATTAATTTTGTTCCAAATAAATTTAGGTTAGGTTTAATGTAATGCACGTTGCACTTCAGTTCGCACCAGAGTAGAGATGAGTAGGAGAATCGGTTTGTTGGTGGGCTTTTTCTCTCCCTCTCGCTGTCTTGTTCATATGCAAAAGCGGTATACTATTCATAAGTAACGAATTTAGTAATAGGAGGTATTTTTAAGGTCAAGAAAAATGTTCCAGAGCGAATTTATTTCTAACTAGAGCAACCCAAGCCCAATATTTTTTGCAGTTCAACTACATTTGCAGGTTTAAATATTATAAGTTTAAAACCACTACAAACCCCTTAAACTGTGTCAATTTTTTGGTAAAACGTTCTTGAGTACTTTGTTTGATTGATGCATTGAATGTTTAGGTATTATGACTAAATTCTTAAAGTAAGTTTAAATTAAGTGATTCTGTCGTTTCATGCCCGCCGGGCTTTTTCTTTTTTTAGCTTAAAGAACACTTCAAATTAACTGCCAGTCGAACAGCGTTACCTCGATGTTGCTCATCATCTCTCTGCAAAAGGCCCGAGTTGTCACACGGTTGTCAGCACTTGTCACTTCTGACACCAGTGTGAATGTAAATAAATACTACTTTGACCTAAACTAAAAATTGCTAAATCTCTATTAACATTAATTTAGCTTGAATGAGTCCAATGTTTCTGTGAGCAGAACATCTTTGTCAATACAACGGTCTACGAGGGACTCTTTATTTGCTCATTTTGGGACACCCAGTTTATCAGAAAAGTTCGTATATAAAACCGGTTGGCTGTTTACCTCACTGCAGTGCTTGCTATTTCCTGCAGAATCAATCCGTCTGCTGTATCTCGTTATACCGCATTGTGTCGTGGCAGTGAAGTTTTTGGAGAAAGTTCAGGGTTTTCGTGTGAGTATTTCCATTTCCCACAAAAAATGGAGCGCCGAGCAGAGAATGTGTTCAAAAAGCAGAAAACCGGCATACAGGTAGCTACCAACGTTACTAAACAAGATCACATAGTGACTAGAGCGAACAGAGGACAGATTCTGGGTCATCTTCGTGGATTTAGGGGCTGCACTGTATGGTTTACTGGTATGTTTTGTCATTCGCTCGTTCTCAGAGAATATCTATTGAATACTCATAGGTTTGTCTGGCGCTGGCAAAACTGCAATTTCCTTCGAGTTAGAGGACTATCTAGTCTCCCATGGCATCCCAGCGTATAGCCTGGATGGCGACAATATGCGACATGGCCTTAACAAAGATCTTGGCTTCTCAAAAAAAGCTCGGGAAGAAAACATTAGAAGAGTGGCTGAAGTAGCCAAATTGTTTGCGGATGCTGGCCAAATTTGCCTCTGCAGTTTCGTCTCACCATTTGCCGAGGACAGGGATGTGGCACGAAGAATTCACGGTGAAAGCGACTTACCATTTTTTGAGGTATTTGTCGACACTCCTCTAGAAGAATGTGAGCGACGTGACCCCAAGGGGCTATACAGAAAAGCCAAACAAGGCATTATTCAAGGATTCACTGGCGTTGATCAAGCGTACGAAACGCCAAATAATCCCGAATTGGTTGTGAAAACAATCGAGTATACTCAGAACGGCATCAGACAATATTCCATAAATGAATCTACCTCGCATGTTATCGAGATGCTCAGAGAAAATGGCATTATTCCTCATTTTCAACAAACCGACGACAGTATTCCCGAATTGTTCGTGCCCGTTTGCAGGCTGGAAACTGCAGAAAAGGAAGCTGCCAGTCTACCTAAGCTGGATGTTTCCGTGGTAGATTTACAGTGGCTACAGGTAAGCAGCAGCCAATGTTCTTCTCCGAGGATTTAATGCAACCAAAAAATGTTTCACGGTTTACGCTTTTGGAGTAAGATTTTCTTTAAACTAGGAAAGTTAATAAGTTATTTAAAGCATCTGGCTATAAATACTCTTCAGTATTTACACAATGATTGAATTCCACATGGAAAATGAACGGTAGTTTGTTGTATCAGCTCTGGTGGAGTGTTCAGAGTCTAAATAAATGTTTCAGTTACTTTTTGTGCGCAAGAACTCATATGTTCTTATGTAAACTTAATTTGGAAGCGTTAGCTTTTATAGTTTTTAAAATGAAAACCGATAAAAGTGTTCGTAAAAGTATGAATTAAAAATTGAAACGGAAGTGAAATAACTCAGAAATTTAAATAGTCATACTGATATTATCTTTTAAATATGCTACGACTGTAAATGAAAGTTATGTTTGAATAAAACTGAAATATGAGCTTATCGACTGCAAATACTAAAGTGCAAATGAATTTTGTACGAAAATATTTCACCTGGTTTCTTGCTCTAAAGTTATACGTTTTCGAGAAAATTGAATTAGTAATAACGAATACTTGAAAAAATGTGTTTTAAAGCCCTTGTTTATGCACATAAAAGTCCCTTTTAATTGGTTTCGATATCTCAATTTTTGTGGATAAAAAATGTGTTTTTGTTGACGAACAACCGTATCGGGAAAGTAAATTAACCAGATGACATCAAGCAATAAAAGTTCAATGCCACAAATGTATAATCGGTTTTGCAGTCTATTACGATCATTTTGCCTTATCTCCGTTCAAACAATGAACACCATTATACTCAAACAAGCATAAAGCATGAGGATTTCAGATTGTTTCGTGCAAGATGTTTAAAATATTTTGGCCTTAAAAACATAAAGTTGAACAAGATATGGGAATATGAGTATGCTTAATTGTCACCAACTTTAGTCGATTCACTTGTTACCCAACATTAATAGCGGAATTCGATTCATTGGCGCCGTATATTAATGCGTAAAAAATCGGCTCGAATAATTAAGAACGTTTATTTTTTTTGCAAAAACACGCACTAGCCGTAAAACAATTGCACTAAATAACGGTTGAAATAGAAATCGAATCGCTCTGAGCGATCAGAATTTACCGTTTTATTTTCTAAGGTAAAATGTATCATGCAATTTTAGCTACAATTAATTTTGTAAATTGGAAAATTGGCTAATTTTTGCTAGTCTCCAACCAATGTACATTTCTTTATGTCCAGCTTCATTCGTTTTTTCCTTAGGCATTTCTAAAAATGCATGTAATTTTGTCCCAAATAGTTTGAGTGATAATTTTGATTAACATGGTTATTCGCAAATGCATTTTGAGGGTAGTTGAAGTTGAATTTCGAACTTTGAAAAAGCCTTTTATGGGGTTTTATTGGTGGGATTTTTTCTACAGATTCTGAGCGAAGGATGGGCGGCTCCATTAAAAGGTTTTATGAGAGAGGACGAATATTTGCAAACTATTCACTTTAATTGCCAGTTTAACGATGGAAAAACAGTCAATCAAAGCGTTGCGATAGTTTTGCCAGTATCCACATCGGATAAAGAAAGGTAAGTTACCACTCCGGTACTCAGCTCAATGTTTTTCTTCAAATATATTAAAATTGGGACTTCAGGTTGCAGGACAGTTCGGCTTTTGCTTTGTATTACAAGCAAATTTGTTATGCGATTTTGCGAAAACCTGAGTTCTACTATCACAGAAAGGAAGAGAGAGCCGCCAGGCAATTTGGTGGGTATTTGCTGGTTTCACATTATTTCAATTCACAAAGTTTTACGATATTTCATCCGCGAAATTTTGGAATATTCTGCAGAGCGATTTAAATATTTTTTTCAAAAAATGGATCATAGCAGAAACCCATCATTAAACAGTCGAAGCAATTATTTGCTTAGCACAAGAAAGCGCAAGTGAAAGTTTGAACGGTTTATCTACTTTCACATGATTATTATTATTCATTGTATTTTGGACTCATATTTATTTAATAGCGGTGAGCCAGTTAAACCGGTGCCCCAAATTGATGTTACGTTGTTAAAAAATACTTAGTTCGTTCCCAATTTAAAAAAAATCTATTCCTTTTACTTTTTGAACGATTTCTATTAAACGTTTAAGATCTTTAGAATAAACCGTCTTCTATATATTGTGAAATTTTGAAATTGTTGTGTGCTTTAATTTGGGAGAAACGACTTTTTCGAGCGAGCCCGGTTGGCTAAATGAATCCATTCTTAGACAGTTTTTCGCTACGCTGGAAAAATCAGAATTTTTAACGATTTCCAATAAAACTAAGATCTTTCGAGCAAACTGTCTTCTAAAGGTTGTAAATCCTTCAACTTACTGTTTGCATTAATTTGCATTTTTTAAAGAAGAATGTGCTTTGGCCAAAAGCGTCTGTTATGATGCTGATATTTGTTACCTTCGAAAAAATCAGAAATTTCAACGATTTTTGTGAAACTTTCAACATCTTTAGAACGAGTTGTCTTCTAAAGATCGCGAAAATTTTAACTTGTTGATTGCTTTAATTTGGGAGATGCAAACTTTTTAAAGCGATAGCGCAGTTAAGTAGGAGTCTATTATCAGACCGATAAAAGCTGCAAAAAATTTGGTTGCCCAAAGATTTTGTTGAAACTTTCAAGATATTCAGAGTCATCTGTCTTCTAAATATCGTGAAAATTTCAAACTCCTGTCTACTTTAGTTTGAGTGAGACGAGTTTTTAAATAACGTAAATAACAGTGATCTATTTTTGGGCCAAAAATGGGTTTCTTAGCTAAATTAAATACTTATGTTATGTTTGTACAAGTACTCTGTTATTCTTTTAGGTACTACTAATAAGGATCATCCTTACATAAAAATGATAATTGAATCAGGCGATTGGCTTGTAGGCGGAGATTTGGAAGTACTGAAAAGAGTGCAGTGGGGCGATGGACTAGACGAATTTAGGTAAGCAATAACTAATAACAAAAATATTCTCTGTAGTTCTAATGGTGTTTATGCAGATTGACTCCTAACGAACTTCGCCGAAAATTTAAACAGATAGGAGCTGATGTGGTATTTGCATTTCAACTGCGAAATCCTATTCACAATGGGCACGCTCTTCTTATGACTGACACCCGAAGGCAGCTTCAAGAAAGAGGGTATAAGAAGCCAGTTCTGTTACTACATCCTTTAGGTCAGTGTTAACAAAAGTGCGAATATCTGTTTGCTTAATATTTCAAACTGATGAAAAGCGGCTTTGATAGTTAGAATAAGTAGACTTTCGATTTAATCTTCCCGAACAAATGCGCTTGTTTGCCCAATTTAGTCGCAGAACTAAGGAACAAACTAATAATGATACAAATGATGACAAATCAAACTATTAAAACCCGGGGCTTAGCTGATTACGCTCAATTCGTAATTTACTTAATACCGAATTAAATTTTGTTATGAAATACTCGGGTATTTTGATGGATCTGATTGCTTATCGTTAGTTCACATTTACGACATGTTTTGTTTCGTGTTGGGATTTATTTCGGAAACATACGACTGTGAGAAGGTGTAATGCTACAGAGAACTAATTCAAGAATAAACATTACATGTACAGGGTGAATCCTTCTTTAGGCAGATTTTTAAGATGCACTTATACTTTTAGAATCGATTTATTAATGGTAAATTTTAAATCGCAAAGCAAATTTTTAGATTCTTAATAAACAAATTGTTATCATAAATGTTTCGAAATCCCAAGTGTTGAGGTTTCAACAGAAATAATTCTATAAGTTCGTTGGTATTTTTTTAGAGTCAACTCGGTGAGTGTCGTAACCGCAATTCAATGAACGAAAAATGCGTTGAATTGTTGGAATTCTTTAAAGATTATGCGAGTTTTGAGAAAACAAATCTTTGTTTTTGCGTGAATCGCATGGGAAACATTCCAATTTTATATTCTATTCGGGTTTTTAAACAAGCGACACAATCACAACAGGAGTTTCTAGCAAAAAAGTAAGCAAAATTGTTTTCTGTATGTATGTATTTTCAATAGCGAACCTTGAACAATTAAAAGCGCTTATTTCAAGCTTGCTACAGTTTTTGCGCAATTGATCCTTCGCTACGGTTTTTTGTACTAAAACGTACATATTTTATTATTAAATCGATGATATTCTGCAGTCAAAACTTGTTAAGCCCCACCTACCACAAAAGTAGCTACTTTTCGTAAATATTTAAATTAGTATCATTCCGTTCGATCCTTGGTAAAAAAATGTTTCTGTTCTTATCGACTATCTTCCTTAATACAGCAACGAAAATGGTTGATGCTTAAGGTGAAAAGTTTACGGTAAAGTTGCATAAACCTTTCTACACGGCAAATTTTTAGGAAATAAAACTGCAATGTAAAAATCTGTGGAATTTGGTGGAAAACTATTTCAATTTCCATCAATATTCAGGAAGTTGGATCAAAGATGACGATTAAGTCGCATGGGAAATATCCCAATTTTATATTCTATTTCGTTTTTTTAAACAAAACTAACAACAAGAGTTTCTCACAAAAAAAATAAGAAAAATTGTTTTCTGTATGTATGTACTTCAAGAGCGCACCTTGAACAATTAAAAGCGCTTATTTCAAGCTTGCTGCAGTTTTTGCGAAATTGATCCTTCGCTACGGTTTTTTGTATTGAAGCATACATATTTTATTATTAATTCCATGATATTCGGCACTCAAAACTTGTTAAGCCCCACCTACCACAAAAGTAGCTACTTTTCGTAAATATTTAAATTAGTATCATTCCGTTCGATCCTTTGTAAGAAAATGTTTCTGTTCTTATCGACTATTTTCCTTAATACAGCAACAAAAATGGTTGATGCTTAAGGTGAAATGTTTACGGTAAAGTTGCATAAACCTTTCTACACGGCAAATTTTTTGGAAATAAAACTGCAATGTAAAAATCTGTGGAACTTGGTTGAAAACCATTTCAATTTCAATCAATATTCAGGAAGTTGGATTAAAGATGACGATTAAGTCGCATGGGAAATATCCCAATTTCATATTCTATTTCGTTTTTTTAAACAAAACTAACAAGAGTTTCTCACACAAAAAATAAGAAAAATTGTTTTCTGTATGTATGTATTTCAAGAGCGAACCTTGAACAATTAAAAGCGCTTATTTCAAACTTGCTACAGTTTTTGCGAAATTGATCCTTCGCTACGGTTTTTTGTATTGAAGCATAGATATTTTATTATTAATTCGATGATATTCGGCACTCAAAACTTGTGAAGCCCCACCTACCACAAAAGTAGCTACTTTTCGTAAATATTTAAATTAGTATCATTCCGTTCGATACTTTGTAAAAAAATGTTTCTGTTCTTATCGACTATTTTCATTGATACAGCAACAAAAATGGTTGATGCTTAAGGTGAAATGTTTACGGTTAAGTTGCATAAACCTTTCTACACGGCAAAATTTTAGGAAATAAAACCGCAATGTAAAAATCTGTGGAATTTGGTTGAAAACTATTTCAATTTCCATGAATATTCAGGATGTTGGATTAAAGATGACGATTAAGTTGCATGGGAAATATCCCAATTTCATATTCTATTTCGTTTTTTTAAACAAAATTAACAACAAGAGTTTCTCATAAAAAAAAATAAGAAAAATTGTTTTCTGTATGTATGTATTTCAAGAGCGAACCTTGAATAATTAAAAGCGCTTATTTCAATCTTGCTACAGTTTTTGCGAAATTGATCCTTCGCTACGGTTTTTTGTATTAAAACGTACATATTTTATTATTAAATCGATGATATTCTGCAGTCAAAACTTGTTAAGCCCCACCTACCACAAAAGTAGCTACTTTTCGTAAATA